TCCGACTTCATTTTCAGGTTAGTTTTTTTAGAGCATAAAACAAATTAAATTTGTCAAATTCACAAGGACCCAGCATCCAAATTAACCATACACACAAATCAAGAAATGGTCCAAATTTTTTATATTGATAAAGAAAGATCAAGTATTTTAATGAACTGTGATATATTATTTATTAAAAAAAAGATTAAGCCATTTTGCTCTTTTGATGCAAGCAGACCAGCTTAGCCCCAATCTCGCTACAGCAGCTAAAGCTGTCAATTAAGAGTACAACTCATTATGGCCTGATTTGTCATTTTACATTGTTTCGGCCTTGGAACTCAGTCTAGGCCCATTCAAATTTTGACAAAAGCGCAACCCAAGTCTGCCCAACTTGCACCCCTACTGTCAATGAGTCAGGTCTATACGAAAAAACTGAACCAATTATGTCAATTCTGGTTCTGTTTGTGTCCTGATTAACAATTGGGTTGGAACTAGTTCTTGCTGCTCCGAACCAATTATATGGTGAATAATCTATATCTATCTATACTATTATTAAAAGTTTGAATGAGAATGAAATTTTTTGTTTGACTAAAATACCCCAATTTTTTTTAATTTGACCCCTCATTGTAAGGACAGAAATGTAATTTGAATAATCATTTTTTCTCATTCAAATCCTTATCATTAAGCCTTATATTTAAGATACATAATAACTCCCAATGACATTCATTGAATCCTATTCTTGACTAGAATACCCCTATTTTCGAATTTGGTCTCTCCAATTATGAGGGTATAAAATGTAATTTGAACTACTACATTTCTCCTCATTCAATTCCCTATCATTAAGTTTTATATTTAGGGTATTAACTCCAATTTTTCATTAACTCTAATATTAATTGGCCATATTAAAAAAAGGGAAATTGTCCAAAGCTCACCAAGACTTTTCATCATTTCAATTAAACTCACCATAACTTTTCAAAATGTCCAAAGAACCCCATATCAGCGAGTTTTTATTTTCCAAAACTCACCATCCATTAGAGCACCGGGTGTACATTGGCAGAAGTTGTCCATGTCAGAATAAATGAAATTTTAATGATCAAACTGCCCCTGAATGGCTAGTCAACCTTATTAAACATATTTTTATGACTAAAAATGCCCTTAAGTGCCCAACTGCCTTATATATAAGATTTGTACTTGTTGAGAGACGGCTTGCTCTCATTGCTCTCATTGCACTGCTTGAAAGTATTTCAAGAAAGCTGAAAAATTGGTTTTGGATCAAATAATAACAGGGGTATTTCTGAAATGTTGAAAATGGGTTGAATATGACAAAGGGTAAAATAGTAATCTCCTAACACTCTTTAGTCTGTTTAACATCAAGTTACTTACGTGGGGTTTCTTGGACATTTTGAAAAGTTATGGTGAGTTTAAGAGAAACTAAAAAGTCATGGTGAGTTTTAGACAATTTCCCTAGAAAAAATTAGCGTAACAAAGAATAATTGTTTTATAGATGATAGAAATAAAATACAAATTTAAAATCAACCCAAAATAGAGTTGTTTTCCTATTTCGTAGCAAGTCAACTATTCAACCTTTTAGGTTAAAATCAACCCTGATTCCTTCCCTCTCCTCTTCCAATGTGCTTCAGATCAAGAGGCTTCAGTTGCAGAGTGCTATAGTGTATTTGGTGGTTCAGTTCTTTGGTCTTCTTCATTTCGAAGGAACCTTTTTGATTGGGAGGTGGATGAGGTTTTGAATCTGTTGACCTGTCTTTAGAACCATGAGTTGGATTACAATTCGGAGGATAAGTGGCAATGGAAGTGGAACTCAGATGGGGTGTTCTCTGTCAAGTCTCTGGCTTCTAACCTCTATAGGAGGGGTATTCCTGATTTCCCTGATCATCAAGTGTGGAATCCCACTAGCCCAACTAAAGCCAACTTCCTAGTTTGGACTATGGCTCTTAATAAATGTCTTACTAGAAACAACCTAGAGAGAAGGGGCTTTCAGATGTTGGACCTGTCTTGCAGTCTGTGTGGGAGTAGTGTTGAATCCACTGACCATTTGTGCATCCACTGCCCGTTTTCTGCTCAGTTGTGGAGCCATTTCCACAGCTCGATGAAGTTAAGTTGGGTGATGCCGAGGTCAGTTAAGGAGCTGTTATGTTGGTGGCAGCTTATGGGTTTGAGCAAGAAAAAGAAGACCGTTTGGAAGATGATTCCAATTGCTGTATTGTGGTCCATCTGGGCTGAGAGGAATAGAAGGATTTTCAGTAACAAGACTCTAAGTCCGAAAGAGCTAATTCAGGAAACAGTGGGCAAGCTGATGTCTTGGGTGTCTGTGTCTGCTGATTTCAGAAATTGTAATGTGTCAGCTGTTTTTCTTTCTAGCTCATGGTGGAATGTGTAATTGCTGATTTGATCAGTCAGACTTTTATGGGACTGATCTCAGCCTCCTTGTGTAATTTCTTCTCAATAAATATTACTTTACCTTTACAAAAAAAAAAACCTTGATTTAATAATTAAATAATAATAAAAACTAAAAAGGATGAAAACAAACAAAAGTATTAAAAAATACAAAAAATAATTGTAGAAGCCATTTGGGCACATCTCTAATATCATATATTTATCATATTAAACAAAAATAAGTGTGATAAATAAGAATAAAATTATAGAAAATTTTGAAAACATATTATTTATGCAACTGGGATGGGAAAATTTCCCTTCTCATCCCATCCCATCTCATCGTTTCTCAGCAACCAAACGGACCATAACACCAGAAGCTAGATATGTAGCTTCGACATTAAAATAAACGCCTTCAATGGCAAATCAGATGTTTTTTGGATCTGTATGACCACAATGGCTCTAGGCATTGGGAAAATTTCATGGGGAGCTCATTCAATGAAAATAGGTAAAAATGGTATAGAAACGAATGGAAATCATGAGAGGAACCCAAATATGAGCTTACCTTCGAGAAAGGTCGTCGGAGATGAAGCTAGTGAGTATATGGTTGGACGGCGGCTGAGAAGAAGACGATGCTCAACTTGCCTCCTTCGATAAAAGTTTCTCAATTGTTTCCTTTCTTAGTGGGGTCACACCTATTTGGTGAGACCCCGCGTTCCAATTCTCATCGCATCTCATCACTTCGCCCAAAACAAACATGGGAAAATAGGAATCTTTGAAGAATATTCCTATTTTCCCATCCCAATCGCACAAACCAAACAAGCTATTATGGTCAGTTTGGTTGCTGAGAAAGGATGGGATGAGACGAGATGGGATGGGATGAGAAGGGAAATTTTTTTTCTCAATCCTATCACCTGTGTTTGGTTGTTAAGACCAATTATCCTACCAAATCTACTTCCAGTGTTTGGTTGCTGAGAAAATTTTGCAAGATGGTTGGATTCATTCCACTTTGACAAATCCATGCAATCTCCAATTCCACAATACAAGACTTGTTTTTTGGATGACATGACACAATAGTATTTTAATATTGCCACGTGTCATGCTGACATTGCACAATTAAAAACTCCTATATATTAAATATATAGCTTACTTGTAATAGTTAATATAAACGGTTCTGTCAAACCAGTCTATTCTTTAATAAACTAAAGAATAGGGGATCTGGGTTGTAAAGACCTATAGGACACCATGCACAAACCAACATGACCCATTCTATCTTCTCTTGGAATGGGCATCACAAATTAAACTCATGAAGGCCTTAATCAAGAAAACACCCATGAATCCCTCTGTTTTGCAAAAATCAATACAGCTCGGCAACCCAAGTCTTCTTCATGTAAATAACTCATTTCAATAGTCAAAACTAACCCAAGACCCTATGCTATGGATAGCCACTAGTTTATGGAGTTTTCTAAGATACTATTGCACAAAAAGACAATTAAAATTCTACCCATAAAGCACAGATAATTAAAAAATGCTATCCATATAGCAATACAAAGGAAGAGATGACCCACCATACATGTCAGGTTCCATGGTAATCTCAGAATAGAAGGGGAAGAAATGAGCAAAAGTTTAAATTCACTCCAAGTTCTGATCAGAAGACAAAATCATGATCAGTCACCTAGTTACTTGTCATATTCCATGAGATTGTAGTTAAACTTATTTATATTCTTTTGTTTACTTTTATGCTAATCAGATAAGAAACAGGCAAAGGAGATATGCTTGTCTGTAACAGATGTTTTGGCCTGAAAAAATCCATTTTTCTTGGCTCTTTTTTAGTGAGCTTTGAGGGCTGTTATTTCTGGCCCAACCAGCACCTATCCTTGGAACATTGAAGGATTTCTTTTTGGATCTTACAATTGATCCTTGTAATCTGGAACCTATCCTTGGAGCTTTGAGGGCGGTAGTATGAAGTTACTGGTTTAACAGAGACAGAATCAACAGAAAAAAAAAAAAAAATGTTGTAGCATGAAGTTACTAGTTTCACTATCCACCCATCAGAATAATTGTTCCCTAGTAGCTCCTTGTTTGTTTTGGGGCTTCTTATATTAAAATTATTTTTACCTGCTTTCGAACAATTAAGTGATTTGCTTCGAACAACATCTCCCCCTCTTTTTCTACAGGTCTTCATCTTTTTAAAGTTGAATTTGGGCATTTAAGAGAATAGGAAGATACTCTGTTCTGACCTCCTTTTGATAACAAATTGAAGTAATGATTGTGTCTGCTCTTTTAAATTCTGTGGGAATCAATCTTGGCCTGTGCATTTTATTTTTCACATTGTATTCTATACTGAGGAAAAAGACAGGTAATGTTAATGCAAAAATACATTTCAAGGTGTTTTTAATTTTTCTGGTATGACAACTTCAAAAGAAAAAAGAAAACAAAAAAAAAACATGAACACAGAAACCCATGGTGACTGATGTTTATTCAACATTTGTTCTGATTCAGAGACAGATAATCATATGAATGTAAAAACGAAACAAAAAATGACAATGGAAAGTAGACTTCTATCGATCAACACATAGAAAAAATGAAAGAGAGATTAATACGATCAACATATACAGGGTATGTGGTACCTCAGGCTAAAAATCCCCTACTTGGTTTGCTTGAGATGACCTGAAACAAATCAAAAATAAAACGCCAGATCTGGAAGAGGCAGACGCAGGAAGCCAGATCTGGAGCTCCGACGTTAAAATGAACGCAAGTGGCTGTCGATATGGAAGAACAACGCCTTGAACGGTAGATCAACCGTTTTCTGGCAATGAAAATTGGTCTGGACGACCAGGGATTAAGGTAGACAACGGTGAGATTTGAAGGGGAAGCTCATTCAATGAAAGAAGACAATAATGGTTAAAAAATGAACACAAATCGCCAGAGGATGCAAAATCTGAACTTGCCTTGGAAAAAATTGTCGGAGATGGCACCGGCGAGGTACCGTTGGACGGCGTGTGAGGAGAAGAAGACACTCTGGGTTGGATTATTTTCTCACGAATGGCTTTTTTACTATTCTCAGTGGGGTCTCACCATTTTGGTGCGACCCCGCGTATCGAGTTTTGGGAACCCGCGTCCCATCTCTTTCCATCCCATTTTTTCCTTCAAAACAAACACCTGGAAAATCGAATATTCTTTAAAGATTTTTCTCTTCTCAATCCTTTCTCAACAATCAAACGGACTATTAAGGACTCGAAATCATGTAATTTTAGATTAAACGTAATTTTTTTGGTAATTAAGGAACTACTACAAGTTTAATGGTATGTGGTCCCACAAATCACAACAAATGAATTCTAAAGGCCTAAGAAGCAAACGAAGATTAATGCTGACAAGAGGGTTTGAGTGAGAGCTTTTTTTGCCAATCAATCAGCAACCTGATTTATTTCGTGATAGGCATGGAAAAACACCACACTACAACCCAGCATCCCCACCATATTGAAAACATTCTTCAATGATGGTCTGAAGTCTCCACGACAACTCAAGAGTCTTCTAAGATAGGAAATGACGATGAGAAAGATTAATGTCATATTGAGGGCTTCCCCTCCATGAGATTAATGGTGGTATTCCCGATAGGACACTTTCACATCCATGACCTCACTGAGGGAGTTCCTGGCAATGCAAGCAATAGCACAACGCCCCTCGTCATTGTGGGATGCATCAAAATTGATTTTGATAGACCCGGGTCTTGGGCTTTTCCAAGATATTGAATTCCATGCTTTATTAGTGTTATTGTCCCCTAATGAGTGGTTATAGCATCTAAATGATTAATGAAATTGTAGGATTAATCCCTGAGGGATTATTACTTTTGTCATTTAAAATATTTCTTTTCTATTTTTTGTGTTGGCTTTCTCTCTATTGAATTTATCTATATGGTTGTTTTTAGGTCCATAATAGACCACCAGCTTTTTATAGATCCTTCCTTGTCCAATTGGTTCACCATACTCAGGTCCAATTGGCTTTGCTATCATGCATTTTTTGAAAATGTGATCAATATTTTCATCATCCCCACAGAAATTACACGTCTCACTTATGGGCAAACCCCTCCTCCAGAGGAGGTCTTTGGATGGCAATTTGTAGTTTAGGAGCAAGAACATAAATGTTTTAATTTTGGGAGGAACATTGAGGCCCCAAACCATGCTTAAGAAGCCTCGGTGTTCCACTTGCCCACTATCCATCACACAAGCTTCTTTGTAAGCTAATTTTAATTTATAGTAAATTTACCCTTGGGGTCTAGTCTCCAAACTACATCTTTTTTTGGGTCCGAGGGAATAAAGATGGTTTTAATTTTGTTCTAAATCAGATTTGGAACCAAGTTACATAATCACTAACTTTGAGATCTTCATTTACATGGGTGTTACCTCTCACAACAACTTTTAAGATGCAGACCCCCACCCATCTATCATTCCAAAAATTAATAGATCTCCCATTTCTAATTGACCAACACAAACCTCTACTAAGAAGATCTCTAGATTTGAGAATCCCCCTCCATGCCAACAAAATCCCCTTTTTATCTTTGGCATTCCAAAAGTCCTCACTTCTTAGGTATTTATTTTTAACAACTTTGACCCAAAGGTTGTTTTTTTCCGTAATAATTTTCCACCCAAGTTTTGCAAGGTTTGCATTATTTACCCAACTTAGGTTCTTTAGCCCCAGCCCACCCCAATGTTTTGGCAAATAAACTTTATTCCAACTCATGAGAGGTGGATAGGCTTTTTACCATTATTATTTGACCATAAGAAATTTCTTTGGCATCTATTGATCTCCTTGATGTTTTCCAAGGGATCTTAAAAGATCTCATTATAAATTGGGGCATAGAACTAATTGTGGAGTTAAGTAGAGTGACTCTCCTGCAAGAGAGAGAGTATTTTTCTTCCACCCTACAAGATCCATTTGGAAGGAGTACAAATACAAATATGTAGAGCACAAAACCTTATATTTTGTATGAATTTATAATGTACATATTTGTATATGTACTCCTTCTAAACTAAGCAACAAGTTTGTTGCAGATTCTTTCCCTTTAATGACCAAAGGTCCTCTTAGTCACCCCATCCAAAATCATAGGAACCCCTAAGTAAGAGTTTGATTTCACATCAAGAGGAATTCTTATGCATCTAGAAAGGATCCTATGAAGTCTTTAGGAACATTCTTTGAAAATCTTAGGGCAGATTTATCAAAGTTTGGGTATTGTCCTCATGCTAGTGCAAACTAATTAAGAATATCTTTTATTTGGAAACCAGCAGGCATAAAAGTTTTGCAAAAATGAGGCAGTCATCAACAAATTGAAGGATTAGGATATAGAGCCTACCTCTCAAGGCTCTAAACCTTATTTGGCTTTGGTGTTTAGGCGCTTCATATTGAAACTTTTTAGACAAAGCTTCCATGCATAAAACAAAAATATATGGAGAAAGAGGGTTCCCTTATCTTAGCCCCCTAGATAGGGTGAAACTTCTTGAAGGGGATCCATAAGGGTGCAAATGGATTGGATCATGATTCAATCCGATATGAGATTCGATCTTATTTGATCGAATTCATATCACCCCTGTTTAAATATTTGGATCAGATCAAATTGGGTAATAGGATCCAATAAAAAATCAGATCGGATTCGAATCACCTCCCTATCCAATCTGATATATATTATGTTTATAAATATATATGTTATTTATTTATTTATAAATATATTTTTTATACTATATTTTATAAATTTATTATATTATTTATCTTTTATAAAAAACATGTATATATGTATGATGAAAATAATTAAAAAATACTTGTATTTTTTGTTTTTACTTTAGTTAAATTAGTATATTTTATTTTTCTTTTAATAAATTATTATTTTTTAAAGAAAACAAGTCAAATCAGATCAGATCCAAAGATCTGACTTACCGATAAGATTCGAATTCAAATTGAATCCTATCAGATCCGATCCGACATGAATAGTGTTGGATCAGATTTGAATATACCCTGATTCAAATCTGGTCTAATTCATTTGCATCCCTAGGGATCCATTAATAAGAATCTTGTATGAGACTGACTTAACACAAGACATAGTCCAATCCACCCATTTCTTATGGAACCCAAATTTGAGAAGGACTTTCTCCATGAAGTCTCATTCTAGCCTATCATTAGATTTCTGCATATCCACTTTACATCCCATAATTCCATTCCTTTCTTCTTCTTCTTCATTGAGTGAATAATCTCATGGGCAATTAGGATATTATCATTGATTTGCCTATTTGAGACAAAGGCACTTTGGTACAAGGAAGTGATATTATCTAGGAATGACTTAACTCGATTAACTGAAATCTTGGATATATCTTTATAGATCACATTGAACAAGCTTATGGGTTTACAGTTACTAACAATCTCCGAGTTCTTTGTTTTGGAAATCAAGACTATGAATGTTTCATTAAAAATAGTATTCATTTTCCCTGAATGGAAGAAGGCTTTGACAGCCTTGCATTCTAAACCCCCAATGATGTGCCAAAATGTTTTGAAAAATAGGGCATTTAGGCTATTAGGGCTTGGGGCTCTCAGGTCCTTAATAAACTTCACTACCTCCAAGATTTTAGTGTATGTTACTTGCTTTATAATTTGATCATTTTGCTTCATCGAGATACTAGGGCTAATACCCTCTATAAAATCATCATCCCTACTAGTTCCTTCTGATTTAAATCTATCTTCAAATTTCTTGAGAAAGAAATTGGTAACATCATCCTGATCTTGGATCCACACACAATTATCATTTTTAATTCTATTAATTCTAATTTTGTTTCTTTTGATAGTCATCATGGTGTGAAAGAACCTATTCTTCTTGTCTCCCAAATTAATCTAGTCAATTTTGGCTTTTTGCACCCAAAATATTTCCTCTTTTTTAAGGATATTTTCTAGTTGAATCTATAATGCTCTCTCCAGATTAATCGTGGGGTGATATTAAGGGTTATTCACAATAATCCTTTGAGCTTCCCCAATCCTATTTAACAGATTTTCTTTTCTTTTGAGAATATCTCCAAAGTGATTCTTATTCCATAATCTTAGCTCCTTTACCAAATTATTTTGCATTTTAATGAAAGTCATAGCTCGTGAGTCATCTGTGTTAATATTCCAAGCATTATTAACAACATTTTCAAGGCTTGGGTCACTGCACCACATGGCCTCAAAATTAAAGGGCCTCAAGCCGCAAAATGTTAGACCTGTGGTATCCAACAAAATAGGGGAGTGGTCAGATACAAGGGATGATTAAGCAAGTTAGCATCTGGGAATTCCCTCCTCCATAAATCATTTGAGAGCACCCAGTCTAAGTGTTCCCAAGTGGTGTCGTTCTTCCATGTATATCAAACCATGCATGCTGATTTCAATTAAATTGCAGTTATTTATATTCAATTGAAATTTCGAATATGGTTTGGAGTGACTTGTCTCCCCCCAACTTGTTCTCATTCAATCTGTATGAGTTGAAGTCTCCCATTAGGATCCATGCACCTTCATTATTTTCAGCAATGAGTCTGATCCAATCCCATAAAATGCATTGTTCTAGCTTTTAAGGTGGTGCATAAATAAAGGTGCAAAAATATAGTTTGTTATTTGTTTGATCTTTGATTTTGAGTCTGCACAAAACGATCATTTGTTAAGATAACATTAACATTACATTTGCTTTTGTCCCATAGTAAACATAAACCACCCACAAAACCAATTGGATCAATTAGCAAGGATTCATCAAACACAGAAAAAGTCCTAACAATTTTCTTTGCTCTTATAGGGTTCACTCTAATTTCTTGCAAAAAACAAATAGTTGATTTATGAGTTCTGTTGAACTCCAAAATTTGATGATGAATCCGGGGTCTCCCTAACCCTCTTATGTTCCAACTAAAGAGTTTAGTAGTAGCTGCCATAGGAGTGGTGCATGGTTTAGCATCTGTCATGTGAGTGTGGTGAAGAAGATCCAAGGCATACTTGGGCTGAGAGAGAATCATGCCATCAATAGTGGGCTGAGATTCAATCCCAAGAAAGAAATGCAAAGGCCCAAGGTCTCGTAGAGAGAATTTAGAAGCAAGGGCCTGAATGAACTGA